AAAGAAGTGAGCTGCAGATGGGTAAAAACATGCAGCTGCAAACACATGCATGATGCAAAGTCTGAAATGCAAACAGAAAAATAAATGCAAACAAAAATATGCTGCAAACCAAAACAAAATGCTGTAATCACAGAAAATTATGCTAATTGTAAAAACAGCTGCAAATTCGATCTAACCCCCCCCCCCTCCAAAAAAACTAAACAAAATGTAAGTGTTCCGCACCAGTTGAACAAAGAAGACACCACATTGGACCAGAGTGTTACTTATTTTACTATACATTATGCCTTTTGTTCTCTGCTCCTTTTACTATGTCTACTTTGGTCTCCTTGAACCCCGGTCAGCCTCGGTAGATGGCCGCTAACACTGAGCCTGGTTCTGCTGGGGGTTTCTTTCTGTTGAAAGGGAGTTTTTCCTTTCCACTGTCGCTGCAAGCATGCTTGGTGGTGAGGGATTGCCTTTGAGTCAATGAGTCGATGCAATCAACTGGTTTTCCTTAGACAGAAAACTTTGAATCAATTTGACTGCATGATCTGGTTGAATTGTAAAGTGCCTTGAGATGACACTTGTTGTGGATTGGTGCTATATAAATAAACTGAATTGAAATTGAAAGTATGCTTTTATTCTCTAATATTGTAAGACTATTATGTGTTTGACAATTAAATGAAAGATACAATTCTCCTTTCTTTTTTTAAATCCTGCGATAAAGCCTAATTTCCAGTTTGTATGGAGGGTCTGGTCTAATATGGTTTGTTGTTTCTTTGACTCCTTCTAGTGGTCCGGGGCACTTCAGTTTTATTAGAGCAAGTTTGCAGCTGTTTTTACTATTTGCAATGTACTGTAATTACACTTTTTTATGTGGAGGGATATCCAGGGGAATTGACAAAAGAAAATAGAAAACACAGAAGGAGTAGAGAGAGATCATGCTGAGCTGTTCCATGGGATGTAATGTGGAAATGTGAGTTTGACATTAAAGAAGATAAAGAAACCTTGAGGTCCTCCTTGATCCTTCATAACACAAAGACGTCCGAAGACAGCAGGTTCCAACCTCCAAAAGCTTTTGATTTCATGCTTTATTCATGTGGTGTTGAGTTTATTATAACTGTATATGCATCGAATAATAATAAAACATCTAAACTTTGAAAAACTTGTTTTAACAAATAGGCTTGTCTCTTTTCAAAACTGCCCTTTTGTCCTAAGATTGAATGCTGTTTAAAGAAATATTCTCTCTGTTTTGCATTACTCACTTTACACCCATAATGCTAAATCGGTGGTGAACTGGTTTTTAGTATTTGTATGAGTTTTGCAAGAGAGGGAAAAAAATAATGATAGGTCAAGCCTCAGCAGAAGGTTCATTGCAAGTAAGGTGATGCAAAATATAAATATATTTGCATTAGAGGCAGAGCAAATCATATTTGTCAGAAAGCGAAGGTTTGTGGGTGTGAAAGCAGAGTTTTATTGGCACAACAGTACAAAAACTGAGACTGGAAGAAAAGATTAATTCTCAAAATGTAGTGTTTGCTCATGTTGTTTGTAGAGAAAGCTCTCAGATATTACCAGAAGTTGTATTTAGTTTGTTCTATTTATACAAACTCAGACTTATAACCTTGCTCAGCTGGAGTGGGATGTTATATATGAACTTTAAAAAAAGATTAGGTTGGCTCATGAAGACACGGGTGTTTTTGTGTCACTCTTCAAAGTTTAAATAGTGCCTCATGACAGTTGTATAAAAATAAAAAAAAAGAGTCCTTTATGTCATTTATTGTGTGTGTTCTTTTTGTCCGGTAGGAGGTCACCAAAGCTGTCAGCCACTCATCTTCCTTAAGGCCACTAAACTGGCCTCAGTCAGGGTGCATGAGTGTCTGGGTGTTTTTTGTTTGGTGCAGGGCAGTTAAGAGTACGTTTAGTGCTGAGTAAAAAGCAGTGGGAGCAGTTTGGTCAGCTGTGATTAGATGTAGAGAGGCTGAAACATTGAAGGTGACTACAGAGCGCCATTAATGCCTGTGAATGTCACTGAAGCCAGGACACAGAGTTAAGTTTAAATTTGTCTCTTTGCAATAAAAAACTTAGTATTCAACGACTTTTCCCACGAGACCTTTTAAAGATGTATCCCTCTGATAATACCCAATCTACATTCCACCCACCTAAAGACATGGAATGACATTGTCTAACCAAGTCACGGCTGCATTAATGTTTCTGTTTTCTTCAACAGGGGTGATTTATACTGCTGGCACCTTGGATTGTGAGACCAAAAACTCCTACTGGCTCACAGTGTATGCCACAGATAGAGGGGCTGCACCCATGTCTGCTTCAGTTGAAGTCTTCATTCAGGTAATGATGATTTACTGTCAATTTTCATGATGAATAGTGCTTGCCTAATATGAAATGCAGGGGTGTGACAATATATCAACTTTTTTTTTTAGAGGAAAGGCGATACTAAGTTCAAGAGAAAGTAATAAAAGGATATATATAAAAAATGCATTTTGGGAGAAACTAAAAATCCTTTTTTTATATGCTTTTAAAAATGGAGTAGGAGTTTTATGGCTTATTTTGCTGTTAAGAACCCACATCTGTGTGGAGAACTAAATATTTATTTTTATTGAAATGAGGTTTCAGAGTCAGGTTGTATCTGAAAATCCACTCCAGCCATTTTGTAAGAGTTTATTTTTTATTTTTTATACGTGATATTGCTTTAAAAAAAATCTCTATTCAGTTTGGAACTTGTAGGTATATGGCGAGGTGTAAAAAATATTAATGTTTATTACTCAAATAGAAGTATAAATGCTACTGTTTAAACAGTTTTGTAGAAGTTAGAGTGTCAACTTAAGCTTTCTAGTCAAGTTAAAGTATAAAATAAGCATTTTTTAAATTAATTAAGGAATAAAAGTAAAATGAATGCATAAAGAAATGTTAAGGACAGAAGCTTAACTGCACTAGCCCATTAAAGGATTTATTATTTCTTTTTACAATTCTGGATGATAATTTCCATATACTTAAGTTTCTTAGTTTTATAACTAATGGTAACAGTGTCAAATTTAACTTTGCATCAACTTGGAAAACTTGGTCCACTCTATAAAGCTTGTAACTCAACTCTAATTCAGACATTTTGAACTGAAAAAGCGTACTTGATGGGAAGCGAAACTTGGAAAACAAAATCCAGTTTTTTTTTTTTTTTTACTTTTCTGTAATGACTATGTCTGGGATCACTGAGAATCTTCACCAGCATCTTGAAAAACTATTTATTATTTTCATGGTTTGTATTGTTTTTAAAGACCAATGGGCCATGAAGAAAATGAGCTCAAATGAAACAAAACTAACAAGTCTATTTTGAACATGTAAGGAGTATAAAGAAGAGATAATTACAAAAAAAAAATTTAGGAGTAGAAGTAAAAGGTTTCTTAAAAAATAATTAGTCCTTTATATTATAATGTCTACTTAAGTAAGGTAACAAATTATTTGTACTATGTTACTTGACACCTCTGGGTATAAGAGTGATAGGCCAGAAGTTAAAGAAAAAGCCCATTTAAAATATGACATTTGATCAACATAAATACAAATAAACTATACAACAGATGTAAATGTTTGCATCATTTATCAACACTTAGCTATTGCTCACAAAATGTTGTAAGCTCTGTTACCTTAAATTGTTGGTCCTGCTTAACCTAAAAAGTTCCAGAATTTTTATTTTTTCTTATTTTTTATTAATTTGTTACCCAAAATTTGTTTGCAATCTCTATAAGTTAATGCTGTCATATAGCTGAACAATAACGTACTGATTGCTCTCTTCATTGCTTCAGATAAGATTCAAACAAAAATATGTATTGTAAAATGTAAGGCTATTACCTCTAATAATTTGGACTAAATACACACAGATGTTAGTTTGATAAACTGACATTTCAATTCTAGATAGTTATGTTATGATTTTCTTTACAATTTCCCTATACCATTCTGAGTTTATGATGAAAATATAGAAAGGCATTCAACTAAAATAGAATCATACATAGGGCTATTTATTTTTTATTTTTTTATAGAAAAATCTTGAACTTTACTACCTTTGAATTTGAATACTTTGGTAGAACTCAAGCAGAGGGGTGCAGCTTATGATTACTTATATGGTAATAACAATAAAAAATAAGAACACTCAGCAGTTATTTATTTAATGACTTAAGCTTTTTAAAGAGTATGATGACAAAAAATGACAGAAAATGCAAATAATCAATTAATCAAAATCTTTATTTAAGTAAATCATAATTTTTTTCAACAGGCTTTGGGCACAACATCATTGCATGTCTACAGTGTACACTTTAACATAAGTAGCAAAAGGATGCATCTGCAGCTAAAAAAAAACGGATATCGTAACATCAATATGTCAGAAGCTTCACCTTTTCTGCTTGACTGACTGTCAATACGGTACCAGCTGACTCATTAGTGAAAGGGTCACGACATAAAAGTGCATAAAGTGTCCCATTCCTATAAGCATCTGGATTTTACCTGCAAATTTTTTCAACATCAAAACATGTGATGTTATCCAAATAAAACACAACCTGTATTTATGTCATATATACATAGTATATACATAGTAAATATATATATATATAGTATAATAAACTATTTGTGTGCAGGTATGTGTATAAATTACATGGGCTTTTATTAAGCTTTAAAATGAGTTTCTCTGCTGTATTTTATTGAAAATATAGCATAATACAACACTAAAATATTAGACAAATATAAGTTAAACCCTCAAAAAAAACGGTACCAAAGGAAAGGGAAGATCCCTTTAAAGTCTCACTGTTGGGAAATTTGACCTCTGCTTTTAACTCATCATCTAAGGAGTGATATTCACTTCGTTTTTATTTTTTATTCGAAAAAATTCCAGGCCTAAGAAGCAAGTTTTCTGAACAAAGTAGCTGTGGTATAGCTATTTATACCACATGTTGTAATACTGTGTTCAACCTACTATAGTGCAGCACCTTGTCTTCTAAAACATTTCATTTTGCATCATCCAAAGATCAGGAGCTCTGATTTTTTTTTTTACTACCATTCATTTTAGTGCTTTCTTATGTCTGCTCCTTCACATTCCTCTTCAACTCATTCTGCTGGTTTAACTGGATGGAAACCATTTCCACATTTATTGGGCCAAATGATAGCTATTCTGAAGTGACATCACCTTTTTATTTTCTTTGTGATGACCAGCATATTTTTCCTAAATGTTTTGGGATTTTAAAAACTGCACTATCCAACAATTTTCTCAGTGCAAACAGTGAAAACAGTTCAGCAGCTTCACAGATTCCCCACTGTACAGGAAACTGGGCATATGGTGTTTGATCACAAATTATCCTGTTGTTTTTATTCTCTAAACTTAGACTTAAACTTAACTTTATTTATCCCTTGGGATCACTCCTTCAGAGAAATTCTGGTTCCAGTAGCTTATATAGAGTAGAAAGAGTTAAAGCAAGATGCCATTAAAGATAAAAATATGACAAAATATAAAAAGGGTGTATATAGTACCAAAAAAGCATAAAAAAATAAATAAAAAAAACGAATGTCCTGGAATATGTTTCCGTAAGATTTTTAAAATTCTGCACACTAGAGAGCTAAGGGAAGACTACACAGTAATTGGCTTGGATTATTGCACTTACTTACTGCAGAGATGTTCTGACCTTGTAAATAAGTAAAAAAATAAAAAAATAGAAATAAAAAAATTACACAGGCTATACATTAGTTGACATGTGCCATATTGAGTGAAAAGAGTGTTGCACGTTAGTGACAATAGGCAATGTTTTTCGTAAGATATCCAAGGAGGGGGATGCTGACCCTTGTACCTATTCCTATCACCTCCTTCTTCCCCCAAGCTAGAGGTTGTACAGCTCGATGGCTTGAGGAAAAAAGGAGTTCAGCAGTCTGTTGTTCCTGCATTTTGGGAGCTGCCAAGAAACCAATAGTTGCCTCAGACCTTTAGATTTTGTGCCCATTCTAAAGTTTCTTCTTGTTTCCTGCTAGAAATGTGTTAGTGGTCTGTCAAAAGGTCATGTTCTATGTATGTCTATGATTGTTATTCACAGCTTGTCAACATATAGCTGCCGGTCATGCTTTTTATTGAATATTCTCGGCAACCAAAAACTACACATGTGTTACGCTGAGCACTCTGCCTTTCAGCAACCAAATACACTCTGGACCCCTTTGCCTCTGATGCTGCTACAAAACAATCTGTTGTCTCAACAGTCGAATACATCACTAAATACCCCCCCTCTCTTTGGGTACAAAGTGAGAAGCATATTAAGAAACAGGCATACCTTTCTCGCCTTTGGGTATTTGAGTGCAGTGATCTGATTGGATGCTTTACTCCTGGCTTTTTCATCACAGACAAAAATTGAGAAATTAATCAGGAGCAGGTGCTTCTCATTCACCGACTGAACTGTCTTGGCTCCCTGTGCCTCTCAGCAAACACTCAATCAACTCTGTGTTTGCCATAAATATTACAGATCTATGCTGTTAGGAGGCAAATTAATTCACTGTGCTTTTAAAGTGTGACATCTATGACGTTTCCTGGTAAATGCATTTCCATGCTAAGATTAATAACAGATCAACACGGACCTGGCCTCCTTTGATTAGCAAGCACTGCTAACATCTGCATATACGTTTTCTTCGTTGGTTTCTGCTGATTCAGGGGGTTGTGTTTTATCAACTTTACCTGCTTAGTTCAGAACGCATCAATTTCGAACCTAGATATAGTGGTTATAGAGAAGGAATACACACAGCAATGCTTAAACGAGTCAATATGCAATCTTTGTATTTGTCTCCTGCCTGTTTCTCCTATTACTGTGATATCTTTTTGTTTTTCCATCAGGTTGAAGATGTCAATGACAATGCTCCACTCACCTCAGACCCTATCTACCACCCAGTCATCAAGGAGAACTCTCCCAAGGATGTATCAGTCATTCGTATTCAAGCACAGGACCCTGACCTTACAGCCGCACCCACCCGCCTGAGTTACCGCATCTCTGCTGGGAACCCACAGAACTTCTTCTCTATTAACCCCAAAACAGGTATGCTACACTTGAAAATATATTTGCAGCCTAAATCTATGAATTATTGTATTATTGTACATTCTAAGAAAAATATCTAACTGCAAAACTATTTGGCCAAAATCTGCTATAACAACATCTATGGCAACTCTTGCTCAATTTTTGGCAGATTTCCGTTTGAATAATTTCTTTTGTTTTTGTTTTTTTCGGCTGAATGTAATCACTTGTCTTCTGTGTATCATTGGTGTTTAAGTTGCTGTTTTCCTGTTTGTATTCTACTGGTTCCTATAACAATATATTCCTGATTTATTTATCTTATTTTATCTAAACTAGAGATTAGTCTATTGATAGGCAGGGGACCTGAAAACAGCAGTCTTACTGCAAGCTAAGACTAAAAACAAGTATTTTTTTTCCTATTCATTATACTAGTCGACAGTAAGATCTCCCACTATTTTTAAAAGCCCTTTGATTTGATGCCCAATTTAGGATAGTGCTTGTAAATGTCCTTCAATTTCTGTTACATTCAAAACTACTGCTTTCAAAAATCCTGAAGTATATCTTTCTTTTTTTGTGTAGTGAATGATCCAAAGAAAAAACTAATCATGTAAATTTACAAGAGCAAGCTCAGACCTCAGGTAAAAACAAAAAGATCATTCAATTAGACAAAAACTAATATTAGTACATCTCTAATTTAATTGCTGCTCTCTTTGCTGCTATATTGTTGCATTCCTTATATAAGATAAAGTGTGCATATTTATAGGAAATATTATTTAACTAAGTAAATATGCTAAGGAATAAGATCAGTTGTGAAATGCTTTATATGAATCCCATATAATTTAAGATTGTATATTCTTATAATATAATTCAAATGTAAGTTAATATAACCAATATTTTAATCGGTGGGATTAACCATAAATGTTCATATATAAACTATATCTTTTTTGTTTTGGAAAGTGAATTGAAAAGATCACTTGTTTGCAAATCTGTGCCAAGGACAATAAATCGAATAAAACTGAACTATACTGAGTCATCACTCTTAAACTTAAAAGCCAGTTATCAAATCCCATGGCTAAACACATCAAAGCTCAGTGTAAGGCTCTAAATCCCAAAATGTAGGAAAAAAAGAAAAAAGAAAAAGTGAAACAAGGTTAACCAGCACAGCTGGGGTTTGTGCCATTTACCGTACTATCCCAAGTCATTACTCTCTAAGAAATGCTGGGTTGTTTTTGTAACCATCTGCTGGTTTGAGCATTTTGGCTAATGTAATTGAGTTGTTTCCACTGAATTGGGTATTCTGAGAACACAATTGTCCTGGTTATTTCTATTGGGCATGGAGTTTTAAGGCATTGGGTTGTAATTTCTATCATGTTGTGTTGGTTTATTTTGCACTACCCAACACCTTGGGTTGACATTCATGCATGCTTTACCACGCACTGCCCAATAACTGACCTTGACATCATCGGATGAAACCAGACTGACTGACCATTTCAGAATGAAGCAAGGTTTGTTACATACTCAGGGTCAAGGTTTAGTTGAAGTTTGAGGACCCAAATGTAGAGGCTGAGAGGCAGAGGTGACTTCTTGTAGTTTTAATAAGTAATCACAGGTAACAGAGGCAGCAATCCAAAAATTCAACAAAAAAGTTAACAACCAAAAACCATGTAGACATCAGGGGAAAACGAGCATGAGGAGCCAGGGACAGATGAGGTAGGAAGACAACAGCAACGAGGAACCAGCCACGACAAGGAACCAGTAAAGAGTGAGAGCAGAGGAAAGTATTTATGGCTGACTGAACAAAGGCAGGGCTAACGAGCTGATAAGGAGCAGGTGTGAGTGGAGACAACGAGGACTCCAAGGGTAAAGGAACACACACAAGAGGGCAACAGAGGACAACAAAGAAAAACCTGGGCACTTAAATTTTTTCCGGAAATTCCACCAAATTGGGATTTGACCCATTAAACTTGGAAACCTTGGGGTAAATAAAATATTACAGAATCAAGACTGTGACACTCAGCTTTCTTTTACAAGCTTCTCATTGTTGTTAAGTAGCCTTTTTTT